ATAGAAGTCTATCAAGTCATTAATGTGTCATGACAAACTGCTAGTTGGATACAAGAGTAATTAATTATTTGCATAAATAACAGGTTGAACTTCGTGCTTTGAACTGCAATGACATATGCGTCACATCGTGGACATCTCGGAACCTCTTGCAGAGAGTTCATGGGAGGGGTGGAAGCGGAGCCGGGCGTGTGCGCAGTTGCATCCTCACGTGCTTCAAGCGGTCAGGAGCTTGGCTTGAGTTTTGATGCTTTTTGTGTTCCTAAGTTCTTCATTAATGGCTGTTTGAAGAAAGCATCTGATCATTGGAGATTTCAATGAACAATTATACAGATTTTCATAATCACCATTAATCACCACATATTTTTCAAGATAATTACAGCAATTATTATTTAGATTCCTCTTTTATGTGCGCATTGTAGGAAAGAACAAGTGCTTATTACGCTGGGTAGTGTAGAGAACTAAGGTCTGAAGTTCTTTGTCATCCAGAAACTCATTATGTTAGCTGATGCTGCTTGTGAAAGTTCGTCAGCATGTTTAAATTAGGGTAGCATTGGCAGGTCTGATTATTTAAATCTGGTAGCTTTGCTAAAAATATAGTTATTCAAGAAAGATGAATTACTAATTTGACAACTGAGAGTTAGTTGGAGCCTACAGCACAGAAGGCAGCATCTATCGTTTGCTTAGAGGAGGGTGACAGTACTTTTTCAGATTAAAGAGAGAATTTCTAAGCAAGCTAACAAGTTGTATTTATAGAGCAGAGTTTTGTGGCCTGCCCTTTAAAGGCTGAGAGTAAGTCTTAGTAAATTATAATGAAGAAGTAGCCACCAGTTTAAAGTTGGTTGTGGTTTTCAGTCGTCCTGCACTGACCAAAGGGGTGGCTCCGGTGCCCTTTTGGGTGCCCTGCTCACCGGAGGGGTCCGGCCTCCTCCCGGCTGCCGTCAGGTGTTCACAGGGACACCGTCCTGCGGGGTTCGGTTTTAGGAGCGCACTTCTGGCCGCTGGCTCCTTTCAACTCTTTTATCTAATTGCAGTGGCGGAGCTAATTGGATGTGACCCCCAGGGAGGAGCTGCTCCTGGGAGACAGCAAACAGCCATTGAAAACATTTTTCTTTCTGAAGTCCCTTTTTATTTTGTTCTGGTTTGAGGGAGAAGAGCGCAGGCACCTCCCTAATCTGTTGCAGATGCCGTGGATGTAGTTGCACAGGGGGAACCTGCTGCCTCCTGGATTCAGCCCCTCAGTGCCAGGCCCTGGCACTATGGGCGTCCTCCCGGCGGGTGAGGCTCTGGGCGAGCGGTGATTCCACGTGTGGGGCCGGGAGCCACGACCGCCCGAGGGCGGGTGCCAAGGGAGGTGCTGTTCCTGACGGCCCTGCCGCTGGCCCCACTTGGAGCAGCGCAGGGCAAGAGCAGCTTTGCCTACCTGTGCAAGGAGGCTTGAAGTGAAACATGTAAGGTGCAACGTTTTATAGGTCTTTAAAAATATTTTAAAGTTACAACCTTTTGAAGATGTTAAAACCTACGGGGGTTGATGCGTGAGCTTACTGGTGGTAGTATGAGTAATGCTACTGGTGGGGATGCTGTAAAAATGGGACCTTGCCCACCTTTTTTGTTCTGAATCAGTACGTGTTGCCTTTGGAAAGAGAGCTGTACTTTATCATTCACCAGCACCGATTCCTTTTATCCCTTTGTGTTACCGTCTGCTGGTCTCGAACGTGCTGCAAATTGACGTGAAGGAGCGTTGAATAGCTGTCGGCCAGACTAAAGCAAGAACTGCAGCTGTAGGCCAAAGCCTGGCTGGTAAATCTTGACACTGCCCATGAGAATGGTAACGCTGGGCACTGAGCACAGCGCTCTGCTCATCAGAGACTGCCAGGAATGCTTCAAAAGCAACAGGGGAAAAAAAGGAAAAAGGGAGGAATCAGAGGCTGCTGCTGCTGCTGTTTATTTACAGCACAACATCAGAACAAGGGACATGGAATTAAAAGCCTCCTACAGTTCTGGTTTCATTTAATTTTATTATGAAATTAACTGGCTGCTGTAAATGGCGGTTGCATACTGTCTTGCAGTGCACGGCGGGAGCGATGACACCCGTGTCCAGACCCCGGTGCTGGACACCCCGGCAGACCGTGGCACAGCAATGGGAGCTCTTCCCTGCCTGTTGCTGGAGATGCCTGGCGCTGGAGAGCGCTTCCTGCGGTCACCTCCTTCCCAGCTCTGCAAGTCTCGGTGAGCTGGTGTGCGGCGCAGGAGTGCTTTTAAGGGCTCAACCCACACGAGCTCCAAGCATGAGCTTGGACATGTGCAGCCCCATCACGGCAGCATTGCTGCTCATGCCGCGCTCTGCCCGGGAAACACGGAGAGGTGGGCCCTGTGCGGGGAGAGGGCGTCTGCTGCAGCGGGGCACGCGCTGCTGAACTGCCCCAGCAGCACTGCGCTGCAGAGCACTGGGAGGAACTGGCGCTGCAGCCTGGCCTCGGGGAGGGCTTGGCCCTGTTGTGGCGGGGGGCTGTGCGGCAGGCAGGGGCGTGCGGTGCCGAGCCTCCCCAGTAAATCACTGCAAACGTGCATTGCTGCAGCTGGGGTTTTGTTCAAAGCAGCGTGGTGCACGGGACCCCCATGAAGCATGCTCTACACATCGCATGACGCAGCCTTGTCCATAAGATATAAAAGCCAACATTAACGTGAGGTGGTTCAGTGTTGTGGTGGAACAAATTGTCACTGTGTTTGTTAATCTTGGATTTAGATTCACACTCCTAAAAGGAAGCTGGGTGCCTCGCTCTTGAAGTCCTCGTGAACATGAAAAAACCCTTCTTAGGCAGCGGTAGCTTTGAGTCTCTTTCTTCTTGCGGCCAGTGCTGCGGGACGGCGGGCAGCACCTCCGAGGGCGAGGTGGGGGACGCAGGGGTGTCCTTCGTCTGAAGCATTTGCTTTGTCCGGGGCCATCATTCAGCCTGGAAGCAGAGGCGAGGGACAAGCGGCCGCTCCCCACGCGTCTCAGGGGGGTTCCCACCGCCTGCACCCAAACAGCTCCCGCCTGCAGGCTGGCGCTGCGGGCTCCCGGAGCCCAGCCGAGCCGTGGGGCAAAGGGGCGAAGGCTGCCGCCCTCCCGGCGCTGGGGGAGGCGGCTGGCTGCGGCAGCCTGGCGCTTTATTTCTGTAAAGTTCCCTGAATTGGTGGGTATTTAAATCCTCGTGACTCCTTGTGCCTGGCTGTGAAAAGAGCCGTTGAATGAGTGTGTTGTTTCCCGATTTCTCCCGTTAATGTATTTTACCAGCAGCCTAGTGACGGGCCTGACACGCCGGCTCCTGTGCACGCTCCTGCGCTTTGGGAGTGCAGCATTAATAACACACTTCCATGCATCATGCCATTTTTAAGCATGATCGTTATGATAAAGGGCATATACTTAATTACAGGCCTGCTTAATTACAGCTCTGTTGAAGCTCGTTTGTTTAGGAGAGTGCTAATTGCGCTGCTGAGCCTTTGGCACACCCTGCTTTCATCTGCTGCTTTGCTCTGCAGTTTTGAGCTTCGGGAGGGCTGGCGTGCGCAAGGACTGAAGGACGGATGGAGGCAGTCCGGCGGGGGCTGCTGGGGGAACGTGCACGCTCATCGCGGCTTAGTCTTTAAATTACTTTACAAAAGCCGGCGTGTGACTGATCAAAGCAGGTTTCTGTCGGGATAACAAATGCAGATGGTCTTTCAGGTTCAAAACTTCCTGGATTTGGTGATGCTGCTTTTCATCTGTTTCCTTTTGTTTCATGGAGCGCTGTGGCTGCCACATAGCACCTTTGATAATGAAATGACTCCACTGGAGGGTTTTTTTTAAGTCAAAAATACACAAAGCAAATGTCAAATGCTAAGTATTCTTAAATAACCGTTGTTAAATCACTAACGTGGTAACTCACTGATGCTGATGGAAGTTACAAACAGCAAGCAGAGAAACGCTGGGTTTGTGGGTGCAGATGCTTTGTGAAAGAAAACCCTATTTGAGGATTACTTGAGGGCATTTCAGGGCTTAAATTTGCTCTAGTTTGAACTTTTTATTTCTTTCAGAGCTGAAATTTAAAGACTTAAAATGTTAAAGGTGTAGCTGACAGAAAGCAAGTGTATTTGGGGCTGCACTCTGCCTTAGAAATGTGCCCTTTTCAGTCTTATGTGGAAACTGCTGTTTTAAAAATAAGTGTCTCCCTTGTACTGACACGTCTTGTGGGAGGCTTTGTGTGAAGTTTCCGAGGTGGTGATAGCAAGACAGAAACACTGAACATCGTTGCACTATCTAAGAAGAATACACAAGACAATATAAAGGCAAACAGTCCTCTTAGTATCATGAAGGTTGTGCTACAGAGAGAGCTTGCCCAGTGGCACGAGGCTGTGCCGTGTGCCGTCATGTCCTTGTGTCTGTCCTCATACTCCACTGGTTTCTGTCCTCCAGATGTGGTTTGCAAGTGTTTGAGCTCCGTTGCTCACTGTTGAGTCTGCACTGGCAGCAGCCAGGCCAGGGAGGGTGCTTGGCCCCGGGTGTTTTCATTCTGCTCAGGCAGCAGTACGCACCGCTTTGGGGACGTACAAGTCAGCTTAACCGGGAATGTTCCTTACCCTCTTGCTCAGACACCGCCAAGTTCACTGAGATGGTTCTGTGTGGTAGTGGGAAAGAGATGTCTGTCCTCTTAAACTGTTTGGATTTGTTTTCAGTTCTGAATATTGTCCTGTTTCAGCAGCTGAACCAAATTGGAAGACTAAAAATTGAGACTATGAAATTGTGTATGGATAGAGCAGGGAGGGTTCACTGAATTCCTGATTTGGTAGGGACTAACCCAGCTGTGTCTCAAACAGAGAGAAACCTCTGGCAGGTGAGAGGCAGGAAAAGGCTGGCAATAACTTCTACGAGCTATCAATCGTGTCAATGCCATGAATACTTGATCTGTCACTGGGAATGTGTGAAGTTGCATGTTAGAAGTCAGCTGGAAATGTGACATGTCTGCCCATTTTGTCCCTTTCAGCAATGGATGGAGTGCCTTTTATGATTTCGGAGAAGTTTGCCTGTGCTCCTGAAGGGGTGAGTTGCCTTAGTTGTTCTCCCAATGCCTGAAATTCATCTTTTCGTGGAGAGCAATCACAAAGCATCAACACAAATGACCTGCTTCAGGGAGCTTTGCTTTTGTGGGGCCTAATATATACCCAGTGCTTGAGGTGACCCAAGGTTGTGCTTCGCAATACTTTCCCATAGAGTGGGAATGGCTTTTGCCAGATCACTTCTACAACTGAATTCTCCAGGGAGGTGAAGCTTTATCACCATCAGAAATAGGAATGGCAATGGGACTCTCTGGTGCCAGAAGCATTTCTAGTTTATTAGCATAGATAGTAAAGAAAGCTGGAAATGTACAGCTCTCCTAGATTTAACCTGCTGTGGAGATGGCGTAGTGCTGTCAGCTTCATGACTTTGCTTTTACACCCCAGTTCCAGGCAGTGGTGATGGCGTGGTGCTCCTTGGCGCTGGGAGGCACTGCCACTCGGCAGGCTGCCGCCGGGCTCCTGCGGCTCCACGCCCTGCGCAGGCAGAGCCGGGCAGCGGCGGGTGGGCGAGGGTCTTCCGGAGCTACTCAGTCTTGGTGGGCGCTGGTGGTTTTGCAGGTGGAACGCGAGCGGCTGTAGCTGACTGGGGGGTAGCAGGGTTGCCACGACTGCACTGGCCAAAATCCAGTTTGGTGGGGAGCCTGTGCTCTCCTGTTTACCAGTTCCAGCCTGGAAAGTTTGTGGAGGTGGCTGTGTCCTAATGACGCCGCAGCTGGACCTCGGCTGGGTTCCAAGGAGCAGGAGCGGGGATGGAAAAATGATTTTGGGATTTGGCATGGGAGATTATCTGAGCCAAAGTGTCAAGTGCAGCAGCAAACCAGACTGGGTTATTTTCATATATGGCATGTTTCTAAGCGAGTTCACTCCTCAAGCGGCGTCCTGCTCAGCGTGCCTGTGCTGCCGGGGCACGGATCCTGCCTGGCAGCAGGGTGAGCTCGGGAGGGCACCGCGTCCCGCCTGCTCGGTGCCGAGTGCCGCGGTGCCAGCGGAGGGTGCCGCCAGCAGCCTGGGCAGGGCAGGTTGCTCGGCTGAAACGGAAACCCCGGTACCAATTCAGAATGACTTTTGAGCATCGCTGCCCCAGCGCTAATCTAAGTTGGTCGTCCAGAGCTCAAAGGCTCAGCACCCCATTATCAGTTGCCCAGTCCATCCAATCCTAAAATAATATCTCTATTAAAATCAGTTTACGAGAAGCTGCTACAGCAAACACCGAGCCGTCAGCTGTATCTGATTTTTCACGTCGTGCTCCCGCTTTGTGCTTTCTTCTTCCTGATCACACAACCTGCGTGTGCAGCCGGATGTGGTTTTTCACAACCATTGCTTTCTGAAAGGGCTGTTTATGGGCCCTTATTCCCAGAAAGCTGGAGTCCCTGCTGCGAGGACAAATGCAGAGAGATTAGGTCATGCTAATGCTCCCCTCGGATCCTTTAGACACCATTGCCACCATATGGTCAGTTTGGTCGGGGCTTCCCACAGCTGGTGCCGCTCACACCTGCGTGCTGCGGCCACACGGAACCCATAGGGTGTTCGAAGTGCATTCCAGTAACAGCCGTGCTGCGGCAGGGAGATGGCTAAAGAGCTACCTGTGCAAAGCGACACCAAGATGACTGTCAGCTGTCCCCGCTCAGGGAGAAAGGCGTGAGAGCTGTTACCCCGACCCACCTTCTGCTTCTTCACTCCAGTGGTGGTGTGAGAAACAGGGTGATGCATGTGTTTACAGACGGTGCCTCTAAATCTCTGGTGATAGAGTATTTGCTGACTTCAAGCAAAACAAAACCAAACCAAAAAACCCCTAAATTTGACATTTCTTTTTTGTTCCTTTCTTTCTTGCCAGATGCAGCCAGTTGATCTCTTGGGCATCACAATCAAAACCCTTGCAGAAATCGAAAAGGAGGTAGGTACCCAGCCAGGCACTAAACAGAAGTGTCATGAGAGCTGTGTTCACTTTGTTGTGTGATCCCTTCCCTTATGGAAGAGGCCTCTCTTGTCCTTCCCAAGTCACTGCTGGTGGATAAAGTCAATGCAGAGTGAAACAGTAAGCTCGGAACTAGGGTGTCCTCTGTGATCTGTGCTGGGTGAAGATGCTTTAGATGTTGAATCTAATGGCAAAGTCTGCTGCTCTCTGTTTAGTTCCAGATGTCTGTCTTATTTAACCTTTCTTTCTCATTTATTAACAAATCATGTTACAAGCAGGATGCTGTTTGTGTTAGGTTGCCTCTTGCATCTCAGGGAAGCAAATGAACTTGATAAAGCAATGTCAGGTAAACTACTTCATCATTTTTCAGTTTGACGGTGCTGGTAACTTGTTACCAGGAAAAACAGGCTGCGCTTTCAGTGAGTGTGAGTCTTCCAGGAGCTCAGGGAGGAGACAGCCAGCAAACCGAGGATGGTCTCGTGTTCCCGAGGGAGCATTTTGGCACATGCATGACTTGGGCTGCCCGGTGCCGAGGAGCTGCCGGCTCTGCAAGGGCTGCTGAAGTCTCAGACCAGGAGGAAAATCTGTCTCAGCAGCACATGCTTCTTTCGGCACCATCGGTCACAAACATCTTCTCTTGTGCCAACCAGCTGGGTTGAAGGGGAAGAGTAAGAAGATGGCATAGCAAAACTTCCAGACTCCTCAAGGCTTCTCTACTTTTTGATTCCAGTTGTGAGTCCAGTTCCCTAAATCCATCCTCTTCTCCCGCCTGGAAGTTTTGTCTGAGTGCCAAAAGAAGGTCGACGGTTGCCAGGGCTTTCCAGGCACCCAGTGGGCCAGGGGAGCAGCGACGGCAGCTCCGAAGGTGCTGCCCAATGGTGGCAATTGCCGGCAGAAGCACCCGCTGCCTCAGGTGCTGCAGTCCTGCTGTGTGGCACGCATGCTGTGCTTCTGCTCGGGACCGCCTGCGTCCGTCACGAGGGCATCGTGTGCTGGGAGCATGAGCAGCGCCGCTCAGGGCTGGTGGCCCCGACGCGTGCCCTGCCTCCTTTCCCCAGCTCTTACCGGGAGCTGGCCGCAGGACAGCAGGTCCCTTGAGCCGGAGGGGAAGCGGAGTGGTGTTGCATTTGCTTCTGCAGCCCTTTGCGTGTCGCCTGCTGTGGGGAGAGGTCTCGGCAGCTCGGGCGCTGCCTGGAGGGGTGGGCCCATGCCCCTCACAGGCCTGCAGAGTGCAGGGACACCGGCACCAGAGTCGTTTGTGTGGCCTTGGGAGGAGAGGTTGGTACCTGCTGGCTCTCCCCACACCCTCCTGTTCCGTTACAGGCTGTGTGCGTTTCAGAGTAATGAAAAGTATAATTATGCAGCCCATATTCCTTGATGAAGCATCTTGTCTGCACATAGATAGCTACGCATATAAATATTGTGAATTTCTGCATGGCTTTATTTCCCTTGCAAGCAATAGCACCATTACAGCAAATCTTCTGGATTTCCAAAGCAGCGAGAACATTTTCCCTGGAGCTAGATGCCTTGCAAAAAATATTCCCAAAGAATTCCAAGAGTTATTGTTCTCTGTCGCCACATTTGCAGATGTATGCACCGTCCTCCGAGCTGCGAGGCAAGCCGAATGAAAGGACTCCACCCTTTCAGAAAAACTGATGAAAGTAGGTGCAAATCCTGTACTGCACGCTCAGGCTGCACCTGAAGTCAGCATCTCATTGCACCAGGACTGCGCAGCCATGCCCCAAGGAGCGTACGAAGAAGTGGCGTACGAAGAGGCGGTGAAGCCCAGCGGGTGAAGGCAGGTTTAAGCTGAGGGCGACGTTCGCCCACGGCTGTTCTGGCGGATGTAGGGCAGAGAGGAGCGGAGCCCCGGCAGCGCCGCTGCTGGCCGTCCCTGCAGGGCTGCAGGTGGTTTGTCCTTGCTGGTCCTGCCTGTCCGGGGTAGGGGAACATCACCGAGCGGGCATCTCGGAGGGCGAGGCAGCCTCTGTGCGGTGCAGAGCGGTGCAGGCGGCAGCCAAGGCTCCGGGACTGTTCACGGCCCCGGCGGCGGCGGGTGCTGCCGTGCCACGTGGCCATCAGCAGCGCGGTCAGCCGTCGGACTGCCGTGGGCCTCCCACGCTCGCCGGGCGCTGGCAGCGTGCGCCCCGTCTTTGTTTTAGCTTGGCGTTGAGCGAAAAGTCTGGAGAGAGTCTAATTAGTAAAGAGAGCATCTAATATTAATCATTCCTTTTAAACTGACAAGGCAGGCAGTTCATTTAACCACTTAATTGCTACAAGTTTTCATGGGCTGCTCTTTGCAAATATATTTAATGAAGAAGTTGTAAATCTAAAAGAGCTTAAAATTTTAATTTTATACAGAAATATTTTTCCTTGTTCTCATGTTTGTAGTCAATTCTCCAGAGTGCAGTCACATGAAATGTTCTTTAAATGAACATATTTGATAACTGGCATGATTTCAGTTTTTAAAACATTGGTTCCAGCAATTAGGCATTTTTTTCAGTTCCCAAATGACTAGAGAAATTCGTCTTGATTATAATTGCTCTTAGCCACGCATATCTAATTTGTGTCTTTTTAAGTGTTAATTAGTAAACAGTTTGAGCTGACATCTTTATGTGTTTGCGTGGTGAAAAATGAGGCTTATTGCTTATTTAGCTGGGGGCTGGCGCTGCTGGCTGTGACATCGTGACATGGCGGTGGAATTAATGAAGACGTAGCCGGTTCCCAGGCAGCCTCGAGGAGGGCGGCTGCGCGACGCGGCCCCTGCGCG